CATCTCCCGAGGAAATGTCCAAACACACTCGCTACCACCACTACCTGGAATGGCTCTGGAAGGGCCCATGCTGAACTCCACCTGCCCTGTAATGGAGATGGACAGGCAGGAGGTTCAAGTACTTTCCTGTCTGCTCCTCAAGTCTGAGAGAGGGAGAGGAGCTCTCTGTGAGTGGAGGGGCTGACTCATGTCTAACAGGCTCTGAAATGACACCTTCGCAGCAGCTCAGGAAATCCCACCTTCCCCACAAGTCTCCAAAATGGTTCTCGCTCAAGCAAAGTTCATGCAGAAGAGGTTTTACAGGTTACTTCTAACTTAATGTGGTTATGAGTTTGCAAATGGCAGAGTTGTCTGGGTTTTTCTTTGCCTGTAACAGAATGCAGCGCTCACTAGTCACTTCCTACCTGTGCCTACCTGAAAAGACACACAATTTGCTAGCTTGCTGACCACCCTCCAACCCATGGGACCTTCTAGCGAGGGAGGCCACACGGTGCCTTGAAGTCACTAGGCCTGGGCCTGGACAAATTGCCTCAGCACTCTGTAGCTCCCAGTGACAATATGACTGTTGGCTTCATAACTTCTTTAAAAATATGAGATTTCTGGATTTTTCACCCCAGGAAAAACACACCTAGACACAGACCATTGGTGTGGTATCTGGTGTCACAACAAGTCTTCTTGGGCTTTCCTCAGCTGGGCCTTCAAGGCCTCTGGCCTTCGGCATCTCCCTCTTCCTCGCCCCAACCCCTCTGCTTCCGGCACCTGTCTCTCAGCTGAATGAACTCCTCCAATTTCCCTCCACCGAGCCCTGGCCTTTGTTCCCTCCAGTGGGGACATCCTGCCATCCATTTTCATGTTTCAAATCCTACTCACTCTTTGAACCTCAATTCAAGTGCCACCTCCTCCTTGTCAGATTCTTTTTTAACTCTTCTCATCAAGATAACTCTTCTCCTCACAAAGATCGTCCTTACATTTTCCTCCCTTGCAACTTGTCTTTGTATGTCGGGCACCTTGCACTTCCCAGATTATAGATGTGGGATCTTGCCCCCACTGCTGGCTTGTGAGCTAATTCACTTCTATGATCTCCTCCAGGACACACAGTAGGTGCTCAAGAAATGATTTAACTAATCGATACCCATTTCTCTCATCTATGTATGGTGCCAATGAAACGCAAGGATATATGCAAATAATTCACCTCTCCGTGACCCTGACTCCTTATTTATGTGAAATCTTGAAAGGTGCTTGGGGTCAGTGTGTGCTGATCGGTAGGGTTTTGCAACAAAGATATCCTTAGGAATCAGCAAAACCCCAGAATTTCAACAAAATGTCGGCTGTGCACCTATGGACTGGCCGTTCTGCAGGGTGGTCAGATGATACCCCAGAAAGTGTCTATTTCCAGAACACTCTCTGATGAGAAAGAAGATGTCCTTTATCTATGAAGAAGTGATTAGTCTAGAGAGTTTGGGAAGCCTGCTTCATATTGAGGAGTTTTAGCCAGTTTAACTGGCAGGGTCTGGGTTTGGAGGAGATTCCAATGAAGGTCACGTCATGCTAGTTAATGCTGATATTCTTCTCCAGGCCAGGACAGAGTTCCATTTCTCAGTCACAGCACAAGACCCAGCTGGGAACTTAGTCACTGGGATGGTCCTTAGTCTCTGTTCTCATAGATGGTCCACCTTAACCCCGGGTTCTATGTAGAATCACCCTAATTTGGGGATTCATCTAATCTATTGCTTCTAACCATAGCACTGTATCCAAAGGATATGCTTGGAGTCAAGATTAAGAAGTAGATGGGGCCTCCCTGGTGGCACAAGGGGTTAAGCACCGCACTACAAAGCAATCCACAACCTATGCAGCACAAGTTCAATCCCCGGCTGGCCAGGGAGCAGCCCACATGGCGTAGCAGACCTCTCCTGTCTCGCCCGCTGCTCCCCTCAGCAGTGTATTTCAGTCAGTCTGCTGTTCTGTACCCTGCTCTCTCTCTGGCTCATCCTCTCACCCCCCGCATCTCTGGCCTATGCCCCAGTTCTTGTATGCATAAATAAATAAATCTTAAAAAAAAATTAAGTAGAACCTGAGTTTCCAATAAAAACTTGAGAAGACAAACCTCTGAATTAGGGTAAAAGCTGCCCTGGCAGGCTGCATCCTCCCTTCATAACAAACCTGGTTCCCATGGTGATAGGAAGTAAATGAAATTGGGAGAGGACAGTGAAAGGTTACCATGGGAAAGTGGCTTCTGTGCCTTACATGGTAAGTTCCAAATATACACTTTGAATAAAAGAGGCAAGTTGTCTATACCCCAGCTCCCAAGGTGTCTATACCCCAGCTCCCAGGGCGTCTATACCCCAGCTTCCAGGCATTGCACTAACAAGAAAACCCCTCTGATTCCTCCCAGCCTGGCTCTGGCTTCATTTATATTACTCTGGGGTCATGAAGGGTCATGATTCCTGAGAAAGGATTCTGGTTACCAGAAACATCCACACTCAGGAAAAGGACAAATGTACTAGTAGAACAGCTCCCCCAAGGGTAGAGTGACTTTCCAGAAAGGACTCAATTGAGGGACTAACATCTAGTCTTTAAAATAATCAGGGAAATACCTGGAAAGAGAGTGGGAACCATGTGCTATTGTTTTGTGTTTTCATGCTCTAGTATAGTTTTATTATTGAGTAGTAAACTCAGCATTTTAATGGGGAAAGCAAGGAAAAATATCAGTAAATGACATTTAGCTACTAACATGTACACTTTTATATTGTCTGTAAGAAAAGGGTGAGATCAAGGGCTTTTATATCAGAATTGAAGTCAGGTTCTTGAAGTTCTAACTGTTCCTGGTTATCGATTAAAAAAAGTCAATGCTTTTAGATTAAAAATAAGGAGCTGGGGCCTCCCTGGTGGCGCAGCGGTTGAGTGCTGGGTTGCGAGGCTGCCCGCGGCCTCTGCGGCGCCGGTTCGATCCCCGGCTGCTCCCCGGCCACCGGAGGAGGGTCCCACATGGCGCGCAGACCTCTCCTGCCGCCCGCTGCTCCCCTCAGCAGTGTACTTTGGTCCTTCTGCCTGCTCTGCTCCCCGCTCTGGCTCTGGTGAATTCTCTCACCCTCCCGCGCTTCTGACTGTACCCGGTGCTTGTATAAAACAAAAACAAACAAACAAATAAATAAAACATGCCTCTATTAAAAAAAAAATAAGGAGCTGTTACTTATGACTTGATAAGTTGTAAACTGCCTTTCTCATCCTTCCCACTGGCCTGTGCCTGTGGCTATTAAGCTGCAGACCTGCAGCTCGCGTGGGTCATGCAGAAGGCCAGCTGTGGGGAAAGAAAAGCAACCAGAGCAAGATAGAAAGCAAACGGGCTTTGCCGGTGCTTGATGTGAGGGGTCCTTTGCACCCGCATGTTTTGGTGACAGAGGTTAAAGTGGCTTAGGCCACACAAGGGCCTTGGAACTTGTTTCCACCAAAGAGCTCAGAATGCCAGTGTGTATGGCCACCTATGCCAGCGTGCTATGCTGGCAACGGCAGGTGCCCGAAGTCCCCACCTGCGCCAGCCAGTCTCTAAGACCTCTTCTCTACAGATGGGATGGATAAGCATTAAAGAGTAGATTTCCTGGGTATGCGTTTTACCGCAGCTAATCCAAGCAAACTGCAACTAATCCACCGCTTTTCCTTAGGGGCAGCTTGAGGAGAGCAGGGGCCACCAGGCCCGGGGGACCTTACTACAGCTGCCATGTCTGCGCTGCTCTGAGGACTTGGCGGCCTGAGCCACCACCACATCCATGCTTTAGTGGGTGGAAGCCGCCCCTGGCAGGCTCAGCCGGAACAAAGTGCAGGTGAACATTCCTGGCTGAGTGCTGCCAACCACGAGATCTGTGCCATATGCCTCACAAGGCGAGGAAGGCTCTGGGGAGAACTGGGCTGAGCAGGCACCATATCCAGCCTGACTCAGGATAGGGCCAGTACCCCCTCAGAGTGGTGGTCCTGCGGGGCAGCACGCTGTCTCGGCTGCAGGGCATCATCACCAGGCCTCCAGCCCTGGCTAATTAAAGTCAGCATGGGTAGAGGGGCCAGCACTGGCATCTCTGAGAGCTCTCCAGATGGTTCTAATGTGAAGCCTAGGAGAGGAGAGCAGCAGCACTGGAGGCTGAGTCTAACCATGTTTGATTTCCAACCCAGGCAGTAAGGAAGGAACCGGTGTTAGAGGAGCCTGCAAACATCACCTGCTGAGGGAAGTCAATGTCCCCTTAATCTTGAACCAGAACTGATAATTGTGTCACTTGCCTGGGAGTGTCTGGGTCCATCTGACTTGCTGGAGGGGCTGGGAGAGGTGATGTGAAATGCCTGTTTTTGATTTTTCTGCTGAAAGCAGCCACTATGATATTTACTTAACCTTTACTTTTAAAGAGTTAGGAATTTGGTCAAAACAAAACAAACAAAATACCCAAGTGAAATGTCACTCATTTCAGGGGTGACTCCCTGGAGGAGGGATGGGGACAGACCCCCACCAGCATCCCCACGTAACGTCCAGGGAGACGGGCGGCACAGGGAGGAGCTGTGACTGACGCACACATTAGAGGACTGCCGGAGCTTCAGTAAAACAGCCCTGCAGATTCTGAGAGAGACAACTGTGGAGGCACAAACATCCAGAAGAAAATCAAAGGAAGATGACCAGGGGCCCTCTGCCTGGGGTTTACCTTACTCACTCCTACACCTGGATCTGAAGTTTACAGACAGCTGTGCACAAGGGGAGAGTCCATCTCTGGGCTTTGAGAAGAGACTTTCCAGACTCAGGTAATAATCAGCTACAAACCATCAGCTGAAGCCCCACATCTGATCCATAGGTAAGTCTCCATCTCCTGCTATTGAGCCACTGATTGGGTGCCAAGCTTCATGTGACAATATGACTTACTAGATAGTTCCATGTTTATAAATCTCACCATTCCAAGAACTTAACTTACCTGCTTCGGGCACAGAAAGCAGAGTCAATAGAAACAAATGATAGAAGAAATACTTACTGGTTCTCCCTTTTCTTCTTAAGTGGGTCCATGAGGCGCAGAGTGTCTCTGATCACGGCGACTTTCACTTCCTCATCGACAAGGCTGGGTACATTTTCAAAGACGCCTGGAGAAAGCTGAAGGGGCAAGGATTCCACATCACAGTGGAGACAGTGATTCTGTCAAGGGACCAGCAGCATCCAGCCCTTCCACTTGCTTTGATTTTGCTCATGTTACTCAATAGAAGAGAATTTTTCAAAGGCTCCCCGTACACTACCTTAAAGTGTCAATGTCCCTTAACCAATCAACAAAATACATGAAGAGGAACAATAGCACTGTTTTTCTGATTATACACATGATCATTGTAGAAAATTTGGAAATATAGTTTGGGATTGAGAACATGAAACCTAGATAACCCTCCCCCCATGAACCAAACTCAATGTCAACATTTGGTGTGTTTCCTTCCTTTAATGCAGTTGAGGGGTGGGGGAGAAAAATATAACCATGGTTATAAATGTACTATTTATCTTAGTGATTCAAGCATGTCGACATGGCTAAATCATATTCATAGAATTTCAATTAGTTCATCTCCTGAGGCTAACTAATTAGTTCATGTCAAAGACGGATGGAAACTCTCAGCTGCTCCCGTGTTTGCAGACCTTAAAAATGGGAAGAATGGCATGCTGGGAAATTAGCACAGGTCGGACAGGTCTTATATTAATAGATTGTTCAGAGTTCGACAAAACCTGAAATGATTTAGATTTGAGCAAAACTTTGCTGGGCAAATTGGGGATGTTGAGTCGTGTTAGCCAAGCAAACAACTTGAGAGGTGCGCGCATTCAGCTGTGGGGCAACATATTCAGTGAGACTCCAACATACTTACTTCTTGCTCATGCTCGATTCTCATGCTGGGATTCGCGTTTACTTCAAGTAGTATGGGCTTCAGATTTTTCATTAGAAGAATGTCAAAGCCTAAAATCTGGGCAGGATAAACATAATTCAGAATTATTCCCTCTAGCTACAATTTCTTTCTGAGAAAGTAAATTATCACTTGGCCCCCAACTTGAGGCTTGGCCATAGTCCCTCTTCCTCTGGGTATACTGTCAGCCAATTGGACAGCAGAAAATTGTATAGGGGTCTTGGGAATGAAATGAGTTCCCCCTAGTGCATTCCAGCACTATCAGTGCTATCTGAAGGGCTTTCAGTGGATGACCTCGTTCTTCTGTAACAGGTTTTTAAAAATTATTATTATGGTAAGGATCAGAAGCAGCCCATCAATTTCTTCCTCTCCTTCTGCTCTCCTCTATTAAGTTGCTTCTTAGCTAGATCTCTGAAAATACAAGGCTGCTTTTCTTTTTCTTTTTTTTTTTTTTAAAGATTTATTTATTTATTTATACAAGCACTGGGTACAGTCAGAAGCGCGGGAAGGTGAGAGAATTCACCAGAGCCAGAGCGGGGAGCAGAGCAGGCAGAAGGACCGAAGTCCACTGCTGAGGGGAGCAGCGGGCGGCAGGAGAGGTCTGCGCGCCATGTGGGACCCTCCTCCGGTGGCCGGGGAGCAGCCGGGGATCGAACCAGCACCGCAGAAGCTGCGGGCAGCCTCGCAACCCAGCGCTCAACCGCTGCGCCACCAGGGAGGCCCAAGGCTGCTTTTCTTAACCTCAGGTGTCCATCAGTACCACTTTCAGGACCCCTTCCAAAAGCTCTGTTCATCCCCAACCCACGCTAAGTCAGTGGAAGACAAAAAGGCAAATGTATTTTCAATAACGCACGTCCCCCCAACACCACCCCAGGATATTCTGACCTACCTACTTAGCTAAGGAGATTGGAATATTTATCAGGCACAATCCATTATTCAGCATCTCATTGAATCCTCACGACAACGTATTTGAAGTAGGGAGTATGCTTTCCATTTCACAGGAGCAGAAATTTAGATTCAGGGAGGACAATGAATGCCCCCAACGCTGTGGGGGCAAGCAAGTGCCAGCGCTGTATTTCACACCCAGGCATGGCTGGCTACGCATTCGGTGGAAGCCAGCGCATGACGCATGCCCATGACCCATTCTGTACTCGAGGCTCCATGCTTGCCCTTGACTCCAGCTGCTAACTCAGGGGAGCCTTTGTGTTCCCCTGGCCTCTCTCAATACAAGTCCCGAGGTGAGGTTGAAGCCCCCACCCTGCCTCCCGGGGCTTCTCATTCCCTCTGCCAGTAGCAACCTTTCTCCTTGAAAACTCCTCCTCATCCTTGAGGAACAAGTCCTCCCTAGGTCCTCCCTAGGTTCAGACTTGGACTAGGAGGATGTCAGGTTCTCGGGAGGACTCTCATACTCTTTAGAGGAGGTGGTGAGGTAGAAAGCGTCTAACATAATTTACACAACCCTAAAATAATAAAAAAAAAAATAATGTGGAACACAAAGGAGAGAAAATAAACAGAGAGGGTTGGACCCCCGCCTCTGTGGACTCCAGGAGAAAAGGAAGATCCATTTCCTTGTCTACGCAGAAAGCACATTAGTTAAATAGTAGTTATTAAACTGAAGCTTCGTCCTTACTAATTAAGTCAGAGCCAGAGCGACCATTTTTTGAAATAATTCAAGACGAACTTATCCTTCAATGAAGGGCAATAAGGATCAGAAGTTGGGAAAATTCATCCTCTCTCTTTTTCTCGCCCTGGTCATGAAAAGCAGGGAATGGAAATTCAGTGGAAAATGTTGCATGCATTATAGATCTGCTTAATAACATGTGACAAGTGCACATGAGTGATGAGGTTTTTAAGAGACTCTGGTGACATCATCCGTCTAACTTCGGACCTGGTCTGAGACATGTGATGCTGATGAGAACGGCTGCACAGAGGCAGCTGCAGCGCCGCGTTTATCATCCTTAGTCATCGATGCTTACTTTTCATTGCATCTTATGTGTTCGGACTTACTCTTCCTCAGCCCAGTGGACTCTTCCCACTTCAACGCACTGTGGTTTGGCGAGGATAAAGTGAAAGGGAAATTGGAGAAGGGGGAAAGAGGGGGCAAGACGTCGTCAGCCATGTTGGCCTACACCCACCAGTGGTTTATCTTCTAGAACTTAAATTTGGTGCGTGTACTTGAATAAGTTGGGTCTTTAGGGTGGTGATTTGGGGCCTCCCTGGTGCTCTAGTGGTTAAGTCTCAGCATTGTCACTGCTAAGGCCTGAGTTTGATCCCCAGCCAGGGAGCTGACCCACATATGGCACAGCAGACCTCTCCTGTCTCACCCGCTGCTCACCTCAGCAGTGTATTTCAGTAAAATCTGCCTGTTCTGCTCCCCACTCTATCTCTGGTGAATCCTCTCACCCCTGCACCTCTAGCCTATACCCCAGTTCTTCTATGCAAAAAGAAAAAAAACAGTGATGTTTTGAAGTCAGGAAGGCTTGGTCTCTGATCCTGGCTCTGTCTCTCACACTAGCTAGATGACTCTAGACACAGGGCCCATAGCCTCTCTCAACCTCGCTTACCTCATCTGAAAAATGGGACAACAGCAGTTACTAGCAGGACAATGAAAAAGCAAAGTGTCCCTGTAACTATGCTTACCATACAGAAGGCTATAGGCTACTCCCTGCCTAATCTCCCACTAATCCCATCAACAAGAAATGGAATTAGTGGCTTTGGGATCCAGGAGAGTTAATTTGAAACCTTTGCCTTTTCCTTATGTAACAACAGGCAAGTCACTTAACAGCTCTAAGCTCCAGCTTCCTCATCTGTAAAATGGGAGTAAAACTAGTACTTACCAATAAAAAAAAAAAACAAAGTATTGAACTTAACATTTTCATTATTGCTTTACAAATTTGATTTATTATCCATGGTTCCTCACGTATCTTTGAATCTTATATAACAACAAATCCAAATGTGAGAAGTTAAAAAAGTATATATGCAGACTAAATAAATAAATATATAGAGTTTATCTTCTTATGACAAAAAAAACAACCACCAGTACTTACCTTGGTCCATTCATTCATAAAATAATTAGTGAGTGTTCCCTATGTGACAGAAACTATTCTAGTTGCTGGAAATAGAGTAGTAAACTTGACAAAGCCCCTACCCACATGGAGCTTACAATCTAGTAGAGGAGATGGGATCAAATAAGTATGAAGGAAATTAGCTTACACAATGCCCCATGTGCGTAAAGATTTTTTTTTTAAGATTTATTTATTTATTTATACAAGCACTGGGTACAGTCAGAAGCGCGGGAGGGTGAGAGAATTCACCAGAGCCAGAGCGGGGAACAGAACAGGCAGACTGACAAAACACACTGCTGAGGGGAGCAGCGGGCATGGCAGGAGAGGTCTGTTGCACCATGTGGGACTCTCCCCGACAGCCGGTGGCAGGGGATCTAACCGGCGCCACAGAGGCTGCGGGCAGCTTCTCAGCCCAGCGTTCAACCACTGTGCCACCAGGGGAGGCCCATGTGTGTAAGGATTTAATGAAGATCAACTTTATTATCTTCTGTCACAGGTTTGAGGCAATATGGATTGCTTTCTTTGCAAAAGTTTAAGGAAATATGTAGCACAAATGAATCTCAACACACAGAATCACAAGACTGGGAGGAGCTTAGACTTGATCTTATTTCAAAATCCCAGAGCATCAGAGCTGACAGAAAATAAGGCATTTATTTGGTTTGGTGTTTTTCAAAATGGGGTTCTTTTCTGGGGTAGACTGGGGAGACTAGATGGGATCAACTTTCAGTTATTTTATATCTAGGCTTCCCAGGGAAAAATGCTTTACTTAAAAAAAAAAAAAAAAAAAAAAACCAGAAAACAAAATGCAAACAATAACTACTAATCTAATCTAACACCCACTTGTGCAGACCATGAAACTACAACTTGAAGAGGGAAAATCTTTGCCCCGCTGGTGGCACAGCAGTATTTGTTAATGGAGAGCACCTTTCAATTTTGCAATATCTGCCCCTCTCCCCAGAAATGCAATTGGCAATTATGTGTTACACACTTACTTGAGGGGCACCCTAGGGTTTCAAAAATGTGTCCTTCCTCCTGACCTGCAGAAGCTTCAAGGGAAGTCGAGGGTCTTTCCCCCAGGCACAACTTGAGATGATTGTAGTTCTGGCCAACATATAAGCCTAGCTTCCTGATCCACAAAAATATGAGATAATTATGTTTGCTAGTCTAGGGTGCTAAGTTTTGGGGTAATTTTTCACACAGCAATAGATAATTGATGCACCGCCTTTCTATAAAGTCGACTTTGCCCCCTGTATTCCTCACCCACCAAGTAACACAAATCAAAACTTTTTCCTTCATCCTTTATATGGAACTGCACACTGACTGCCCTACATACCAGCTCCTGAAGCTCTCTCCAGATCTGGCCCCTACTCACTGCTCCTAGAATAGGTCAGGACTGCACCATCTTTCACCTGAACTATTGAAGAGCTTCCCCACAGCTTTCCCTGCTCTCAAGTCACCTCTCTAATTCATCTGGAAGAAGGGGCTACCAGACTAATTTTTCTAAAATGCAAATAGAATATTAACACTTCTCTGCCTATAATCCTTGCTTATAGAATAAAGCCCATGTCCCGTAGCAGGTCCTCTACATTCCTCTGTGGCCTGGCATCTGTCTCACACTAGCTTTATTTCCTCCTACCCACTATGGCATATCTTGGGCTCCAATTGTGCTGAACTGTTCTAGTTCTAGGATGCTTTCCTGCCTCTGCCTTTTTACTTTTCTGTCTGAAGATGACTTTATCAAATATTTATGGCACACCTACAAAATACTAGGTATTGTTAGATGCACTGAGGATAAAACATTGAACAAGACAAGGGATGCTTAAACCTCCTGCCCTCTTGGAGACTGCAGTTTAGTGGAGAAAAAAAGACCACAAATAAGTCAATAACTAAAGGAGAGTGAAGGAGATAACTAAAGGAGGAGACGTTTTGACAATTTAGATAAGATGGTCAGAGGCCTTTCCAAATAGGTGATATTTATCATCCCATTATCTTCTG